ATCGCAATACCTTACACTAGCTCACCTCAATGCAGACCAACCGAGATAGAGCAATCTTCGAACGTCTCTATACAGTCCATCTCGACTAATATACATCGAGTTGTTCCCAGAGCGGCATTCTGGGTGGCCGGACATCACCGCCTATCAAATCTCGTTCGCAATTGCACACCATACCTTGTCTTTCCTTACGCCGAATGACCGTTCGACACAACACCAAATGTTGCCTTAACATTGAACGTCAATATTGATGTCACGACTCAGGGAACCCCGAATGAATTACTGGCCAGATTTTCACGTACGTCCTTTATTTAGTTTACAACAAGGGTAAATACTATAAATACGTTCATATATTAAATAAATGGTGTATTTTCGACGATGCGAGGCACGCCTGCATAAGCATGATCATGGTAAAAGCACATGAATGATCTGTAAATATACAGAAACGCTACAACTTTACATTAATACATGTTTGTATGAGGTCTTTTTAAGCTGGCTAAATTTCATTCCGCTTTATTTGGTTTGTTCTGCCTCCCTGAATAATGTTCTATTAACTGGCCACGTTGCTTACACTAATTGCGCTTATCTTCGGTAATTTTGTTGCGTTTGTAGCATTTTAAGTAACTTGTGGACATTTCTTACTTATCACGGATTTGTTGCTAACCAACTTACTTCATATGGTAATTTAGCGAAGAGTTATGCCACCGTATCTGTATGCATTATTGGATTTATTTTATTTCAGCTTGTCGTTTAAAGTGAATGGCTGTTGTTTGGTATCCCTGGTATGGTTGCGCTTGATGTGTATGTTGACAAGGTGCCTACCTGTCTATTACCCACTACCTCGTTCATACTGGCTCCAGGTGACAGTTGGTCGTTGCTGGAGGGGACGGGGTGCACGGTTCTTGTGGCCGTGCTAGACTCAAAGAGCGGTTCCATGCACTCAGTGTGGAGCGGACTACGGTCCAGCCACCGCCTTGTGTGCGCTTGATTCTCTAAATACAGCGTGCTTGTGTTTGCCTGTGAAGGAGTGTGGGCCGGCTCCGTTGATGAAACGTGGTTCCCATCCGCATGCCTCCCGGTCTTATTCCTTCGGGTTTACACTGGATGTGGGGTATGTGGTTGGAGCTGTGTGTGGTGCAGCGCAAGCCATCCATGGTCCCTCTGTAGGCGCAGGCGTCCTGTGGCTTGCCACAGTGACAGGCAAATCCGAAACCGGATGCCGCCAACCATGTGTGTTTGTAGCAAGCTGGGTCCTTAAATGTGCTGCTGTATTTGTGATTGTGACCGATCGAACCGTCAGCAGGAAAACCGATCAATGGAAGTCTTTGAGGTGGACGAATGACGTCCGCGGCGTTGGTACAAACATTTGTACTGGCAAGGAGCAGTGACTTCATTTAGTGGCGAGTCAAATCCGCCACGTCGCAGTGTTGTTAGGCAGACATATGTGGTCTTTTATTGGGGAAATGCTTTCCAAACGGAAACCCACCACCGCTGAACTATTCACTTTAACGAGGTTTACCCGAACCAACCAGTCGGCACCACGAGGAGGTTGTTCGGGGAGTCAGCCATTTCATTGGCTCAGTTTGCACTAATGAGGAAGATTTTCCGAGGACGAAGTTATCCGCGCTCAACAAACTATCTTTGCGGGTGCACTGTGTCTCTCTGACTAAGTGTCTCTTTTGGTGGAGATATCTACATCCTGGATGTTTCCAAAACTAATGACTTCCAGACCACTCCCTTAGCGAACAGTAATACGGCTTCGGGAAAGTTTTCTTTAGAATTCTATTCATACTTATGCGTCCCGCCGTTGGCAGGTGGCTGCATCAGTTACTTATGCCTATGCCCACTCCCGTTTATCCAGCCCAAGTTGTTTTCACTTGGACAACTCGGCCCAGTTTAGAAATAAACGAAGGAATGGGCCCTCCCGGTAGTACTAGGCACACTTGAAGTGCTTCGCCCAAGTCACAACTAGTGTAAGCATCAGGAGTGAAATAAATGAGGCGTTGCTGTTTTTTTAAACTACTTTAAGGTGGCCTTGCTTTCTTTTTCCGTCGCTTCCTGTTTTATACGATTATATATATATATATATATATATATATATATATAATGCTGGGGTTTACAGTAAACACGCTATGCTCAGTCGCTTCAGTCGGGTCTATGCTTGTCTTAACTGAAGCTTTATTCTTGGCGGCTGTGTTTAGCAACGATGGGTATGTGGCTACCAAGTAAGTTTATACATTGTCGAAGCTAGAACTGTCTCCTTGAACCTGCGACATCGATAGCACCAGGGTGGGATTGTCGTCCGTTGGGTGCCCGTCTACACAATGCCACAGTTGGGAATGTTCTCTTCTACAGGGATGGGACTTAGCCCCTTCGGTCTGGGGACGCGATATACTTTTAAGTTTCCGCTCAGTTACCTACAGAGTATTATGGTGTCCGCTTGCACCAGTGTGTCCGTATCAGTGATATGCGCAAACCAGTACCAGGCGGTGATGATCGGATTAGTTCCTTACAGTTTCAGCTAACATTGAACAAGTTGCCTTGGCTTTTGCAAGTTCTATTTATGCTCGCATGCAGCTTAACTGAGGTGACGTTGTTTTGTTTACCTACTCGACAATTGTGCAAGGCCCGGAGGGGCCAAAGTTGCTTGGGCAGCAGGAAAATGGAGCTGCTGATGACTAAAGCGCGTGTTGTTGACCCGTTGCACCTTCCAGATTGTAATGCACACTATTCGCCTTGTGTTTGACTCGAGATATCACAGCATATGGCTTACAGCTGTCATCACTTAGTAAGGCTGTCTGTACAAAATATGTCCGATATCCGTGCCTAACCTAACATCTGACAACCAGTTGTCTGTAGAGTGCGCCTCAAGCAGACTGCCTCCCAGATGCCTCCTTATCCGCGCACAGTAGTCAACTGTTTATGGCCGGGTATTGTTGGCAAGGGGTCGGTGCCTTGGCGCTGAATGTTTGTTTAGGGAGTTTTGTTTTTAGATTGAGTCTCCCTTTTCCCATTCTTATCAGTGCTTATTTCCTAGGTTATTCTGGTTTTACGGTGGCGACGTGTCATTCCAAAATACTGTTTTGCACTGCTGTTAATTAGGATCAGGCGAATTTACTTTACTTTTCTTTTCTTTGTACAAGTTACACCTAAACTTTTAGCGCCAATGATGTTTCCACGGATGTTCAAACTTTCTTCCACTTGCATGGAAGCTTCAGCCAGTTGTTATTTCAAAGCGCATTGTAGCCCAGAAAGTCGTGAAGAGAAGAAATATAAATATAATGTTGTGTAATTTGAACAAGTGCATGGGGATATCTGTGAAAAGCTGTAATGGGAAAGTGGCAAAGGTTTCGCTGTCTCTAATATGAATTGTAACAGTCAAGTGTACGGTACGTTCTATTTGACATTCTATAAGCAAACACTTTAGGGAACGGTATCCTAAGTTGACCCTCAACCGAAAATGTATCGTATATGTGAAAACGTGTTCAAAGACCTCACATAAACGACTAGTTGGCGAACTGGCGAAATCCTATGCCGAGGATTCGCCATATGTAAGTTACTGGATGAGGAGAAGTGTTGGAATCTAATTGGTGAGCTTACAGTGTTTATCCTCGTATGTGGCAAATATCCAAATTCGGACAAAATCTAATAAATTAATAAATAAACTTTTTATCCTCGGCAACGCGAGGCGCACCCTTACAGGCATGATCATGTTATGATAACAAAGTGTGAACCAAAATGCACAAGAATGCAACATGCTTGCCATAACAGTGCATGTGTGCATGGATGTGTGTGTAACTGTAGCTTGTGCTTGTAGGTGTGCCGTTTTATTATTTGTGACTGTTTGATAGCGTCGGCTATGTAAGAATAGACGATTGATGTCCGTGTATTGGATTTACTTATCCAGATATCCACGGGGCAGTGACTTTAGTTTGTGGCGAGTCACATTCACCGCATCACAGTTTTGATAAACGGGCATTTGTGGCTTTTTATAGGGAGAGCGCTTGCCAGACGAAAACCCACCACGTCCTGGAACACTGCCGATAAACATATTTTTTGAAACGGGTTACACCCCAACCACCCAGTTGGCACCACGATGAAGTTGTTCGGCTAACCAGCCAAGTACCAAGTACCAAACAGGACCTGGGCGTCTACACCGACGTGAATGGTTCCGCTTGCGAATAGTGTGCATTTAATCCAGATCTATAAAAATGAACTATTGGGGGTCAAGGTGAATTGACGAGGTTTTGATAAGATCTGGGAGTTCAGCCAGTCGGTTTACTAATATTTCCATCAGCATATGGCGATACTTAAAGCCAGTGACGATTAATGCGCTTTATAGAAAACTAATGTGAGTTGGCCGGAAACGAATGTTTATTAAGTACAAAGACTGAAAATGACTGTCTCACGGGTTGGGAGGCTGATGGAAACATGTGTACTGGTCTGAATGCGAGTCTCATTGCCTTCCGTGGTTTCAGCTAGCGGTCTTGTGGGGACGTTGGGTCCGCATAACAAATTTTTGCTATAATTACCAGGATTCCTCGGGCCTTCTGGCGACAGTCTGCCTGAGTCTTACTTCATACACTTGTCTTATCATGTTATTGAGCATTCCACCACTCTGTTTACCTCAAATACTATCAGGGCTTTGTTATTTCACTCTTGAATACATCCACTTCGGACTCTGGCACATCTGTTCGCTTTTGCTTGGCTTCGCCACGCATACAGCTTCACTTTTTCAATGCACTTAACTGATTGATGTACATCAGGTCATCCTGTCTGCATGCCCCTTGTGAATATTAGTAGCAGTTACTGCCCGCGAGTGATGGATATGCGGGCGCTCTGGGTCATCCAAGTGTCTCGACCGACGAAACGAAGATAAGCGTGTTCACGCGCGTTCGTATCGATCGTCAGAAGCAGGGTAGTATTGCGCGCTTCCTGTATTTGGTCACTGACGACTTCCACCTTTCTAATTTCGCACTTTCCATATCTCTCCTTCTTCCCAGATTACTCTCGGGCTATATGCCGCCTTCAGCCAGCCAAGATGGTCTCCAGACCATGGGTAACGGTCTCAACGTCAACTTGAACGGAACTCCCCACACCGTGAACACTGTACCCATTCGGGGCCAAACTGTTGGCTCAGATAGCATGTCCCCAACAACATTAGTGCCAAATTCCCATTCCGCACCCCCTATACCTCCTCCGAATCATCCAAGCTACGATCTACTCGACTCTCGTGGTATAGACCCGGCGTACGGTACCTCGACGCGCAACACTATGGGTTCCTACGGCCATAGCAAATCACATCCGGACACTGTGCTCGTGCAGACGCGTAAATCAAAGCGGCGTTGTCCTTGGTACTACTGGATCATCAGCATTCTCGTGCTCGCTTTTCTCCTTGCCCTAGTCTTGGCCATATCATTCTCAGGTGAGATTTTGGTGTTGTTCCGTGTGTGGGTATACCATGCCGATGCACTGGCCACGTTTTTCATCCGCACTGAGGTGTGGTCACTTTCCGTCTGTTCACCAGGTTAACTCGGTTCGATTGAGTTGTCTTCATTTTGTCTACCATGCTCAGAACATCGCAGTGAAAACGACAGCGTTCCACAGATCTGCCGCGCGAACTTACAAGATTGGGTGAATGTAAAATTAATCTGATTGGAAAGGTATTTTGAACTACACGTTGTATAATTGGATTTCGACGCGCAATCTTATTGTCGACCGCGACTCACATTGCAGTGAATCTTGGTCAACTCGATCACTGAGTCTGATGAAGCCGATGAATATAGGTATTTGCCTGCCTGAAAACACTACACCCCATGACTGATTTTAAACTTATCTGATCTCATCAAGTAGAGATGGCAGGCATCGAACCCTGGACCATCAGGATGTTAGCCGAAGCATCTAATCCTTAACCGTTGTGTCATGCGCTGTTCCCTCGTGATTCAGTGGCTAAGGGGGAATTTTCGGCTAACTTCCCACTGGCCCCCGCTTTGATGCCCGCTATCTTTACTTGATGATATCAAACAAGTCCAAAACCAGTCGGACGGGCAACATCCAAAATCCACGAAATCTATTTCACTACATAATCTTACATACCTTGTTACGTGCACGGAAGGCTTTGATTCGTTCACATCAGCTGTTCGCTGATTGGTAATCACTCACACTAGCCAACCAATCATCTCACACATGCTCCCGATCTCGCAACACGAGTTTCCGGCAGTCTTGTATCTTCTTCAATTGATTGATAAACCTGCTGTTGTCCACACGTGTTCTGCTTGCTGGGATTATGGGTCTCAGAAGCGTGCATTATTTGCTTAGCAGTGCTACGTTTTACACCCATCTTTATAAATAAAAAGTGTTTTTGTGTAAGTTGGTGGGATCGCTACCTGCAATATAGGTCAACACATAAACTAAGGTATCAGCAGTACGCAGGCACGCAGTACTGACGCTTGGCCGTGTTTGACCACTGGTGTTTGTGGAGTATTCCTCACGTCTGATGGGGGAACACCGGTTTCGCAATGCTGAGGCCTGCCAGTTCGTTTTTAGCAAGAATCTTTCTGGCGCCTCACTCGAGTGTTCACCAAACCTTAATCACTTGCGTTGGCCAGACTGTGTCCTCCGTATGCCTGTTGACCGGCTTCCTCGGCATGCATTATATGCCGTGGCTACACCAATTTGGGCGAAACCGCGTGGTTGCCCGTGCATAACGTGGAATAGAGGGATGCAGAAATTAATTGTGAGACTTGGTCAGGCCGGTGCGTGCCGTCGTCGTGGATCGGGGACTCGGGATGGTCCACACTAGTAGTTGGAAACTGTATCAGACATAGGGCAGTCCCGCAATTAGTGGCGCTCCTGCATTTGGTTTATTGCATCTGGTTGTCAATTTTCGTTCCGTTCTGATTAGCTTAACACACTTCCTCCCTGCTACTATTTTACATTCTATTTGCATTCAACCCCGCTATCTTAACCTTGTTACTTATCGTTTTTCTTGCGATGTGAGTCCTGCCAACTGTGGATCCACCGCCTCTCGGTGTTCGGATCATAGTTGATCCGCTGAACTGAACCGAGTGAACAGCTGTCAACGAGCGTTATTTGTATGCATATGGTTTCACACAACGCAACACGTATGTATTACTTATGAGTAGAGGGATTTGCCGAGTATTTTGAGTCCGTCGCATTCAGCCGACAATTCAGATTAGCAATGACCATTCCAATACTGCACCAGACTACCGTTTCGCCCCATTGGGGCTCGTCAGGGGCGCGCATCCTTCGGTCCTCTTCCGAGGCTCGAGCCCATGACTGCAAGTGGCTTGCGCCATGGCTCAGCGGCTCCAGCTGCGGGCTAGTTGGCACAACCACTAGCAGCCATGGGTTCGACCCTCGAAAGAGGGCCGAAGGATGCGCACCACTGACGAGCCCCAATAGGGCCAACCAACCGCCTTGTGCTTTCTTTGAATGGCAGTTGCTTTATTCGAATTGTCGACTGATTGCGACGAACTCGAAATACAAGTATGTATGCTGCGCCCCGATAACACCCTTTCTAATTACTAGCCAGAGACAACAAGTGGGACCTTATATACAAAACTCGAGAAGTTGTTCATTAACATAAAATAAATATAGAGATTTCGGTAATTCGAGTGGCAATTCGTGCAGTGCGTTGCTGGTTACATTCTAAAGATGAGTTAGCTACGGAAGCTTTTGGTGTTGCTCTCTTCTATCCAAAACCCGAAAATCAAATAAGTTGTATGCGTTTACACATTCCCTTGTCGACCTTTCAGCTGACAGATTCGTAGAACGCTTCCATTGAATTCGTCCAATTCGGCGCGCTTCGTGCCGCCGCACTTATTGGTGATGAGCTAAACAGACCTGGATTCAAGTAGGGGAAGTGCAGAATGCCCATTGTCCATTGTTTGACATCAAGAGATGTGTCATACGGCGTTTCTGATCCCTGATCTGGCCTATCTGAGGTTCTCATTTAGGAACCCAGCACGCTATCCTACGGCTCAATCGTTTTGTCATCTGCATACTTTATCATTTTACCCTCACCTAAACATCCTAGGAGTTTTCTAAGTAGATCCTTCAAAGGCGTGTGGTTTATTCAGCGAAAACATATCGGTGAAAGTAACGACACATTTGACCGACAAAATCACATGGAAGTGTATTCAATATCTCGGAATATGCTTGGAACCGACTAGGATTTCATGATTTCAGAAGGTTTGAATACAAATCGGTTTTGGTAGGGTTTTATTGTAGCAACGTTTCGCCCTTGACACAAGAGCTTCTTCAGGCCAGGTGAATCGTTACAAACTTGGCTTAGCCGTATTGGCAAATCTGTATATGGAAGACTTTGAGAGAAGGACGCTGACAAACTCCATGAGTTCGCCAAAGATTTGGTGGCGCTACGTGGATGATACGTTTGTGATTATAAAGCGAGATATGAATGATGCGTTTCCTAATCACCTGAACTCCATTAATGGAAATATAAACTTTAATATGGAACTAGAATCTTGCAGCGGCACTGCCATTCCTCGATTGCCTAGTTCACAGGAACGGTGGACGGCTAAAGACGACGATATATCGCAAGCCGACAGATTCGGACGGAGTGCTTCGCTACAGTTCGGGTTGTCCAAAACAAGTCTATGGCGCTATCACATCCTCTCTGTTTCACAGAGCCCAGACTCTGTGTACAAAGGAGGAGGACAGGAAGGCCGCTCGTAAGGAGACGGTGAGCAACTTAGTAGACAGTGGATATCCGAGGCGGTTAGTGAAACGCCAATTGCAGAGAGCTCAAAATCCACCTCCGCGACGCACAACGGAGTGGATTGGGACAGTGGGAATCCCCTATAAAAAGGGAACCTCAGAAGCAATCAGACGAGTACTAAACAAGGAGAAAATAAGAGTGGTTTTTCGAAAGGGTCAAACGCTATATTCAGTACTTGTGCGTTTGAAGGATCCACTTCCAAGAGACATGACGACAAATTGTATTTATAAAATCAATTACAAAGACTGAACACGTGTACATAGGTCAAACAGCGAGAGAGCTACGCACGAGGATAGCAGAACACAAGGGGTACGTTTCGCGTCCACCGAGAAATGAGCCTGAATACAGGGCCCTACTAAAAGATTCAGCGGTGGCCGTACATGCGCTGGAGGCAGGACACGCGATTGGTTGGGACAATGTCGAAATACTTAGGAGAGGGATTACCAGCAACAGGCCAAAGGTTGATTGCTGAGGCGATCGAGATTACTAAGACTAATAACTGTGTGAACAGAACAGACGGGGTGGAGTTATCGAACGGGTGGCAGGCTGTGTTAACCCGGCCTGTTAGAAAAGGTGTCGGCGGACGAACTCAGGTCGGAGCGTGGATCAGCAGCTGCAAGAAAGGAATGCCTCACATGTGAACGACCGGTGACGTGGATCAGTGAGAAACGCTCGATGCTTGTTGTTTCACTAGCATGGCCACTTGATCTATTGACCTGTAACACTATTATCCAATGGTTCATGTTATGTCTTGCAACCTTCAACTTACGTTCCCATAAAAGCTAAGCCAAGTTTGTAACGATTCACCTGGCCTGAAGAAGCTCTTGTGTCAAGGGCGAAACGTTGCCACAATAAAACCATACCAAGACCGATTTGTATTCAAACCTTCTGAAATCATGAAATCACATGGAAGTGTACTTTTCTTCGACTTTCATTACCGAGGGTTCTTAACTCACTAAGGTAAGCAGCACGTAATTCACCCTAATGCCCCCAAACATCGACCAATCAGTGGAGACACATGTAGACGGGCGACCGTACCCGCTGCTTTCATTAACTGGACCCACTTCGTTTTGCCTCGAATTGTCTACCTGAATCCATCCTCGATCCCGTCTGTTCATTCCGATTCGATGCTTCCATCACACAAGTGTTTCCCTTAAATAGCTTTCAATATCGATAGACAATGCACACTGAGATGCACGGTATACATGCTTCCAAAGGTCGTGACCCAACCAAGCGGTCAGGCGATCTGCTCGCGAATGTCAATTGGAATACGTACTTGATCAGCGCGTGCGTCACTTCTTTGCCTCCTCTTTCAATGAACACTGTATTGTATCCACACAGGTCTTACTGCCTCAGATGTTGTACAATTCGATTGGGATGCCTCATGCGGAGTGCACACCGCGTCAGTGATCTGAAGTTCCTCCTCACCTATTCCTTCTATTCACCATTATCGTCATCATCTTCGTCAACAACAGCAGCACAAGCGGCACATCAAAAATTCGTGGTATTATTTTTGTTGTATATCTAAGTAGGGTGGATGGTGTGTCAGACCATAGTGAACGGATGGACCAACCGAACGAACCAGACAGCCAATGGGAGACTGGCGTAACGGATTCGATTACCATACACGGATTGGCCGACATTCGTGTGAGGTATTCACCGCT